TGGCAAAGAACAGCTGTGCTAGCAGCACTGATGCTGCCAGTCAATGCCAGTTAATGCTGGGAGCTGTTGCCCAACGTTGCCAGCTGCCACCATTCAGCACCAGTTTGTTCCGAGTGCCACCAGTCAACTGTGCAAGTCTTTACCCCCAATCTTTGTTAGCTCCTAATATCTGGAGCTATTTGGGCATACAGACCCCAGAGTTTATTGCACTTTCTTTTAAACAGACCATTCTGTCCACGCTATTCAGGAGAAGGACACTTAACAGATTTACACAAGCGTCCAAGTGTAAATTACTTGAGAGATAAATTGTGAGCAGATTTACAGGACCCTGGGAGTGAGGCTTTCACAGGACCTGTGCAATACCACAGGGGCCGATACCCCAGATGAAACACTCCCGGACTAACTGGGAAAAGTGAGAACACTGATTCTATGCAGCAGCGGCGGGCATGTTACTGGTTCAAATTTGGGCCTGGTGTCTAGTCCAAGAGTAGGCCTACAATGGGTTGAAGTGTATGTATGTGGTGTCCAGGACAGGACAGTCCTGTCTGTGGTTCAACGACAGGGCAGGAGACATTAGCCCTTTGATTTACAAGTCGTTAGTCCCCATAGTCCCCAAAACATGGTGGGGCTGAAAACAGGGGATCTGTGGCTTGGGGATGCTGGGGATGTTAATTATGAGTCCAGATCCCTCCTTCCTTGCTTTTAACCATCCCAGGGTGGTCCCCCTCTACCAAAAGAGGCAGTGGCAGCTTCTGGAGTGGCAGGAGCCGAGGAGAGGCACCATGGATGGCAGCTGAGCTGCGCCTCCTTTCGGAGTGTCCTGGAGGAGAGTGGCTTCTAAATAATTAGGCAAATTGTCTCAGTCCATTCTGGTGGGTGACGAGGGGACATGAAGGGAAGCTGGGGGAAGGAAATGATAGCCATTGGCCAAACTAGGCTCCCCTTGGCTGGCATGGGAAAAAGGAGGGAGTCAGGTACTTCTTGTATGTTTTGTCCTAATGACATTTATTCAGTAATTATTCCTTTTTGATTATTTTTGGTTTGTCAGAGCTAAGAGCTTATTGTTTTAAACATTTCTAGAAAATTTCCTAATCGATCGGTTCTGTTTGTCTTGTTTTGTTTGTGGTACTGGGGATTGAACCCAAGGATTTTGCACTCAGTCATCTTTATTTTTTTTTAATTTTAAGACAGGCTCACTGAGTCTCCAAGTTGCTTAGGCTAGGCTTGAACTGGTGATCTTCCTGCCTCAGCCTCCAAGAGTGCTGGGATCACAGGATGCTCCACTATGCCTGGCTAGTTTATTTTAATACCAGATCCATTGGATTTTGGCTATTATAACAGTATTAAATCACTTGGCGTCTCTAGGGAGTACATGAATATTTCTATGAGCTAGTGGACTTTTCTAGAATCATGGTTCTCTGAGTCATATACTTCTTGTGCATGTGTTCATAATTTTCATCTTTCTGGTCCTCACCATCGCTGTCTTGATTAGTTTTCTCTCATTGCTGAGGCAAAATACCTGACACCCAAAAGTAAGGAAGGAAAAGTTTATTTGGCTCAGGTTGTGGAGGTTTCAGTTTGGAATCAGCTGGTTCCAAGGCAGGGTGGCGTGGCACAGGGGCAACACCTCAAGGCAGAAGAAGACAGTAAAAGCAGTAATGCAAAAGGTGGGGAGAGCAGCCTCTTTTCCTCCCTTGTATTGTAAGCAGGACCCCCACTCTCCAGGGCAGATGTAGCAATCGCAAAATCTTCCAGCTCTCCTCTTGCACAGGCTCAGGATGTTTAGAAAGTGAGGAGCCTGGCCCTTTGCTCAGTCGCTTAAACTAAACTTCTCAAGTTGACACACTGAATAAGCCATAACAGTCCCAAAGATGCTGTTGCCTTCAGAAGAGCTCAGATCTTCACCTTGGACTTGGGCGTTGTCTTCTGGTTTCAGGCACAGATTCCTCAGTTTCCAGTACTGGCCTTTCAGCCTGCCGGACCACTTTTTGGCTTCTTAGCACCAACCCATGGCCCTGCCAGCACAGACCCCTTGTGGATAATTTCGGCCTCCTGATGCAAACCCGTGTCAGATATTGCTGTGGGCTCAGGACTTTGTATCCTTCAGATCTGTAGTTCAGGGACAGATCCTTTGTAGGCTCTTACATTTGATTCTGTGGTGGGCATTGTTAGCTAGTCTTCAGAGCATATGTAGTCTTTTGAGAGTCTTGCCCCAGCCCTGCAAGCGCTTGTAAGCATTAATAGAGTTCAACTGCTGGTTAAGAAACTTGTTCTTTATAACCTCATAACATGTGCAAACTTGAAATTATGCCTCAGGAAAGTTACAAATTACTAGACAAGTTACTATACTTTGACTAAACAAGTCAAATACTTTAGACTTTTCAGGTAGAGAGACAAAGGAGAGAAGAGGACGTAAAGCCTGAAGCTGCTGCAGAGGCAGCAGAATTGCTATAGAAGCACAAGAGGAACCAAAGTGTTAACTAGCCCTAGGAGTTGGGGGAGGCTCCTCAAGAATGTAAGCTAAGTGATGAATCAAATGTATGGCAGAATTATTAACTAGGCAGAAAAGTTGAGGATTCTAAGAAAGGGGAAAAAATAGGAATGGAAGCAAGGCATATTAGTAGAGCTCTAACAGATGAATCAGTGTTGATCTGGGAAACGGAAGTACTAGCAGTAATGTTTAGAAAGGTATTTAAAGGTTCTTGCATATGTGCCTAGATTAAAGCTCGAAAAGGGTAGGACAAACTGTTGGGGAAGAAAGAGGAAAAAACAAGGAAAATTAAGAACTTGCAAGGATAAACTAGAACACACATGACTAAGTAGAACTCTGGTGGGTTTTATTACTTTTTTCAGGTAAATTAAGTCACTTTTTGACTACACGTGGTAAAAGATGCTATACAAACTTCGTTCTCATCTACCATTTTATCTGGTATCCTTATTCAATTTAGATATTGCATAGGACATGCCAATAATGAATTTCATTTCTATAACAATTATTGCTATATTATCAAATAATTTTGTGACTTTCTTTTCAGTGGTGAACTTTGGAAGGTCACAACAGCAACTGTTGGTTCAAACACATCCAGGTTTCTAAAAACAATGGCTTCCCAATCAAATAGTTATAAATACATTTCAAATGGAACGTGGCATTCCTCCTGAGGTCGATTGATAACTAGTGATCAACTTGTAATAGCAGCTGAACTGAATCAGCATGGTGCTAAGTGTGGATGGCCCACCTGAGAACTGCATAAAGTGGAGAACTGGAGAGGAAGAAGAGGTAGTGTTGGTTCTAGAAGGCATTGTTGGTTTTCCTGTTGCCATGGGTTCTTCTAGAGGAGCTTATCGAGCTTCTTTCCTGATATGAACTTGGCTCCATCAAAGGAGCTTGGAACCTTGTCTCTGAGAATGGCTATGGATCACTTTGACGAAGCTCTGGTCCCTATTTTGAGCATTGCTTCCTGGCTGTGGAGGGGAAGATGGTATGATGTTCAGTCTCCTGGAGAAGCTTGTCACACTGGCTTCCTGATATGAACTCAGCTGTTCTCATCAGAGGAGCTCGGGACCTTGCTGTTGCTAAGGATGACTGTAGTACTTTTCAGGGGAGCTTTGATTCTTACTTTGAGCATGGCTTCCTGGCTCCAGTGCAGAACTCTCAAACTATTGGCACAGAGTCTTCATCCCACTGGCACAGACTTTCTGGCTTCCACTGTTGACCTTTGGGACTTCCCAGCACAGATCTACAAAATAGACTTGCATGAAACATTGTTGTGGCTCTAGGTCTTCAATTGAACTCATGCAAGATATTGACATGAGATCTGGGCCTTCAGCTGGATTTTTGGGGGGTCTTTAGTGCATGGACAGATTTCCTGTGCTTTTCGTGTTTGACTCTTTAGACTATTATAAAATAATTCTGTAAGTTATGTGTCCTGTATTAAATCATTTTTCTTGCAAATCCTGCTGACTACAACAACCCTCAAGGAATTTGAAATTCATACTGTAGGGCAGGTTTACTAAGATGGCTTCAGAGTAAAATAACTTTACACCTCTCATTTTCTTTTTCTTTATTAGTACATATTTGCAGTACTTGACTAATACATTCATTGTGAGAAGGTGGGACATGAACATATTGCATCTTCGTCTTTTTACTTCTCATTTTCTTCCCTTCTTTCCTGTCTCCTCCATCCCTAAATCACCTACTGTTCTGTGATAGATCTACCTCCCTGTTTCCTATCATCTCTCTTTTATTTTGTTTTAAAATTATGTATACTTTGAGTTTTTCATGTAAGAGAAATCATGTATCACTTAATCTTCTGTGTTTGATTTCTTTTGCTTAGGCAATGGTCTCAAGGTGCATCCATTCTCCTGCAAATGACTCGTTTCTCCTTTATGGCCCAATACAAACTCTATTGTATACGTATACCACATTTGCTTTAATTCATCTGTTGATGACTGTTTCTAAGATTTACCTCTCTCCACCCCAAATAAAAGGCCAAATCAAACTATGGACAACTGAAATGCATAAAATTCTTTAGATGAAGAAGTACAAGTGGCCAATAAAAATGTTCAGTATCGGGGCTGGGGATTTAGCTCAGCGGCATAAGCGCCTGCCTTGCAAGCAGGCAGTCATGAGTTTGATTCCTGGTACCGATAAAAACAAAAAAGACCAAAAAAAAAAGATGTTCAGTATCTCTGTCCATCAGAGAAGTTCAAATTAAAACAACATGGAGATTTCATCTTACCTTAGAAAGAATAACCATCATCAGGAAATCAAATTTTAAAAAACCTGAGAAATGTCTATTCATTTCAGTTTTCTATAGTTTGTTTTCATCTTTTATTGAGGGGGTCTAATTTGTTAAGTTATTATATATTCTACATATTAGTTACTCTATTCCAGGAGTAGCAGGCCAAAAGATTTTTCATTCTTTAGATTATCTCTTCTTTCTGTTGGTTGTTTCTTTTTCTGTACAGAAGCTTTTTAACTTGACATAATCCCATTTGTTGATTATTTTTAAATTTTTATTTTAAAGAGAAAAACAATAGAAACAAAACAAACAGAACAATACTGGATTTCAAAAACAAGACAGAAGGAAATCAACAATAGTTACAACAATGCACATTGTTATCCTCTAACTAGTTGCTCAGATTACCAGATACAGGCATGCAAAGTTAATCAAACAGTATAAGTACTAGGTTGTTTCTTTACTTCAGTTGCTATCTGAAGTATTTAAGAAATGTCAATTGTGTGACTTCTAATTTCTTTTGTTTCTACGTCTCCTGAACTTGTTCAGGATGGGCTAGGGGTCTGAGATTGCATCTTGCTTCTTTGTCTCAACAGTTTCCTGTGTTTCTCCACATCAGCTGGTTGCTGAGACCCACTGTGTAAGTGATTGGGCTGGGCACCTGCATTCATTCAACCTGAGGTTCCCAGGGTGGCCGAGGGATGTGAGGAGGTGGCGTGGCAATGTCCCCCTGGTGGTAGTGAGGCCTTGGGACATGGCTTCTTCTTTAGGCCTGTGACAGTGGATTCATGGGAAGATGGTGTGGTTTCTTCCATTTGTTGATTCGTGGTGGTAATTCTCAGAAAGTCCTTGCCTATTCCTATCTCCTATCTCTACAAGAGTTTACCTATTTTATCTTCTAGAAGATTAATTATTTCTGTTTTAGTATTTAGATCTTGACTGTATTAGTGCAGAGTTGGAGATATAGATCTAGATTCCATCTTCCACATATGGATAGCCAGTTTTCCCAGTACTGTTTTTTAAAGGATACATCTTTCCTCCAGTGTATGTTTTTGATCCTGTTGCCAAAGATCAGATGACTGAATGTGCCTGCGGTTGTTTCTACCCCTCTATTGTTTCATTGAGCCACATGTCTGTTTTTGTGCCAGTATCATGCTGTTTTTCTGACTATAGCTTTGTAATATAACTCAAAATCTGGGATTGTAATGCCTTCTGATTTGTTCTTGTTGCCCATTGAGTCCTCTGCTTTTCTTATTTGGTAGGTTTTTTTTATTACTGCTTCAATTTCATTGTTTGTTATTGGATTATTCAAGGTTTTATAATCTTGGTTCACTTTTGGTAATTTTATGTATCTAGGTATTTGTCCATTTCTTTTGAACTCTCCAATTTACCAGTATTCAAGTTTTTGAAGTAGTTGCAAAAAGTCTCATGAATTTCAGCAGTGTTTGTTGTGATTTTGCCTTTTTTATTTCTAACTGCATTGATATGGGTTCTTCCTTTCTCTCTTTTCTTGTTAAGATTGGCTAAGGATTTGTCCATTTTGTTTATTCTTTTGAGGAACCAGCTCTTTGATTCATTGATTATTTGTGTTTTTTAGTGTTGATTTCCTTAATTTCTGGTCTCACTTTTATAATTTCCTTCCTTGTATAGTGGCACCTCCGTTTACAAACTTAATTTGTTCCACTGTTCTGGCTGTGAACTGCATTGTTTGTGAACCAAATAAAAATTTCCCATAAAGTTCAATCTAATAGGGTTAATCTGTTCTGAACTGTATGTATTATTTTATCTACAAAAGTATGGAACAAAGTACAGTACAGAATAGTATGAAGAGAGAGAACACTAACCTTGCTTGAGGCAACTTCTGGCATGAGGGAAAGAAAAGTGTGTGGGGAGGAGGTTATTGTTTGTAGAGTCACCTGCCAAAAAGACATCAGGAGATCTCCTTTAGGGGTTTTCTCTTTGTCTCTTAGCTGCAGGGTGAATTTTGACAAAAGTCTGTCTAATGTCACTTGTTTTTTCCTTTGCTGGATAATCCTCCAGAGTCATTATTATTCATCAGATTCAACACTTTGTTATGATTATGTTGGGGTGGTGCTTCTCAAAGAAATCCTGGCGCTAGTTCCATTTTTCTATAATGGATTTTATCCATCACTGCCAAGCTCTTCCCCATTTTTTTTTTTTTTTTCTCAGTGGAATGCTCCTCAACAAGAGCCCTTGCTGCTCACTCTGGAGTCCAGCAAATTTTTCAGTTGTCAGCTCTTCCTTATGGACCTCAACAAGCTCCTCCATGTCAGTACCATCAACATTCAGATCCATCTCTTGCCCATGGACACTGTCTCCTCTTCCACTTGCGCATTAGACCCTTCAAAGTCATGTTTGGTTTCTTCCAGGCTGAGATTAAGGTTCAGTTCATGATATCTTTCTAGGCTTTGTCAGTAAGGTTGATGCAGTGGAGCACATTGAAAGGTTTCTTCCAGAATCCCTTGGGGTCAAGGACATCTCCTCAGTGACATTAAAACACCTGGTGAAGAAGGCCTTTCTGTTCAGCTTCTTGAAGTTGCAGACCATGTGCCGGTCCTTGGGCTGCAGAAGGGATATAGTGCTGTGGGAAGGAACTTGACCTTTATGAAGTTATACTCAGCATCTGTTTTATCTTCCAAGGCTGGAGGGTATGCTGGGGCATTGTCCATCAAAGACAACTTCAGGTGATTGGTTGTTTTTCTCTTTCTTTCTTGCTTGCTTATTTTCTTTCTTTCTTTTTATATCAGAAATTGAACTGAGGATCTTGTGTTTGCCAGGCAGGCATTATGCCACTGAGCTATTTCCCTGGACCAGAAAGAGATTTCTTAATGGTGGGTGTGAACACCTTGTGCAGTCATTCAAGGAACAATTGCCTGGAAACTCAAGCCTTTCCAATGACAGGCAGTCTGGCCTTGTTAACATTCTGTTCCTTGAATGCATGAGGGGTCTGAGAATGATCCACCAGTAGTGGCTTAATTTCCAGATCAATGGTTGCATTTGTACATTGTGAAAGGGTCAATCTGTCCTTCATACCCAGCAGTGCCTTTTCTTCCTGTGTGATATGTGTTCTGTTCAGCATCTTCTTCCAGAAGAGCCCTGTTTCATTGTAGTTGACCACTTGTTGAGCAATGTATCCTTCTGCCTTCATGAATTTGCAAATTCTTTCTTGTACGTTTGGTAGCAGCCTTGTCGGAACTGGAAGCCTCATCACGTCTTATCACACTGTGGATGCCACTTCTCTTGTGGAATTTATCAGACCATCCTCTCCTGTCTTTAAATTCATCACCTGTTGCACTTGAAGAGGGGTTTTCCTGCAGTGCAATTTCCTTTTTTACCAATCATAGTTTCACTAACGCCATGACCTGATGGCCAGCTGTTCCTGTTTCAATAGCACTAACAAGTTTTTCTATCTCTTCCAACGCTTGTGTCCTCTGCTTGGTTAACATTGTGACACTTTTTGCTACATCAGGTCCTTTGATGGCATCTTTATTCTTCAAAAGTTGACTTTACCATCTTGTACTCTGAGGCCAGATCAGTCACACAATTGCCACATTCACATTTCCTACAATTTCATTTTCAACTTAATGGGTATTTTCTTCAAACTTCCTTTTTTCTTTTTTCTCCTCTTTTTCCTCCTCCTCCTTCTTTTTGAAGAGAATAAAACCAAGCAAAATAAAACAGAATAGAGTCAATCAAAATGAAACAATGAATGTGGTATAGGACTTCAAAACAAGATAAAGGGAAATCAATAATGCTACCATAATGCCTTTTTTTATCTTCAAAGTAACTGCCCATACCATCAGGCTTATACAAGCCTGATGAGTAAAATCAAACAAAATAGAACAGAATAAAACCAGTCAAAGTAAAACAATAAACATGGTACAGGACTTCAAAACAAGATAAAAGGAAATCAATAATGGCTATCATAATGCCTCTCATTATCTTCAAAATAACTGCCCATACTATCATCAGGCATAATAAAATCAAACAAGGCGCCAGGGAGAGAACAAATCAGAGTCTCCCGAGATCTAGCCATGTTGAAACTTGGGGGGGCTGAGCAAGAAAGCACCATGCCCGTCTTCCTGGTAAGCGGTAGTGGCACAAGCTAGCAGCAAGCATGCCAGGGAGAGAACAAATCAGTGTATCCCATGAGCCTACTGACATGTGGGCTGAGAATCAAACGTTCCATCCCCTCCCGTTAGCAGCTGGATGGTGTTGAGGACAGCTGAGTTGATAGCAACTAAAGCACATAAACAACTTAAATGCTTGTATTGTTGGGTTGATTATGCTGACCTGTGACCAAAGGTCTGAGCATCTCTTGGGAGGATGACCGTATACAATATAGCAAATATGGGGGATTTTCTTCTATCTTCTCGTTGAAGGCAAATATTGTTTTCACTGTTTTGCTTTGTTCTGATTATTTTGCTCTCTTCAATATTCTATTTTGGTAGGTTTTATAATGTTCTGTTTTTGGTTTTATTTTGCTATACCTGATTGAATGGACAACTATTGTGAAGATAACAAGATATACTATGGTACCTATTACTGTTATTCCGGTATCCTGCTGTTTCTGTACCAATTTCACTGCGCTGTCTTGTTGGGCTTTGTTCTGTCTTGTTTTGTTGTATTTTACTACCTTCATAATAAAAAAATAAAATCAAACAAAACAAAATAGGATAAAATCAATCAAAACAAAACAATGAAAGCAATACAAGGCTTTGAAACAAGATAACAGGAAATCAATAATGGCTACCATAATACATTTTGTTATCTGTGAAATAGCTGTCCATGCTATCAAATATAATAAAACAAAACAAAACAAAATTGTATAAAACCAAACTAAATAGAATAATGAAAACAATGCAGGGTTTCAAAACACACTAATAGATTACAATGGCTAATGCCTTCCCTTTTTAGATGTTTCCTCCTCTTTTACTTTTACAGTATCTATTGTGCATTTTGGATCCCACTAACTCTTTTAGTTTTCTATACTAGGGAGACAACATGATGCTCACCCATGTGACTCTGAACTATTTCACCCATGAGCATGATCTTGAGTTGTATCCATTTACCTACAAGAGCCTCGAGGTTATCTTTCTTTAGTAGCTGAGTAGTTTTCCATTGTATAAAAATGCCATGTCTTTCTTATCCACTCTGCAGCTGATGGGCAAGCTACCCTTACTTTTTTTTGGGTCCCTGTCACATGGAGCATTGTTCTCTCTTCTTTGACTTTCAGTCTATGGATTTTCTTTCAAGTTAAGTGTGTTTCTTGTATAAAGCATATTGATGGATCCTCTCTCCTGATCCACTCTTCCTGTGTTTCTTTTTATTGGTGAATTGAAGCATCTACATTAATGGTTATGGCCAACATGCACTGGCTGGTGTCTGCCACGCTGTTTTCCTGCTGTTGGCTCTCTACCCCTCACCCCCAATTCCATTGTTTGCCCCACTTGGTGATTCCCCTTCTGCCACTGTTCCTGACACTGTGGTCTTTTTATTTTATTTTTTTCTTTCTCTAGAATGTCCTTCAGTATTCTTTGTAGGGTTGGTTTTGGTGGTCATGAATTCTTTCAGTAGTTCTTTGTCATAAAAGTATCTTGTTTCTCCATTAATTTTGAAAGACAGTTTTACAAGGTGCATCAATCTGGGTTGGAAGTTGTTTTCTTTCAGGACTTGAAATATTTCACTCTATCCTCTTCTTGACTTAATGGTTTGTGTTGAGAGATCTGTTGTGATTATGATGGGCTTTCCTTCTTATGTAATCTCTTTCTTTTCTCTAACAGCTTTTAATATTCTGTTCTTGTGTTGAATTTCTGGGATCTTTATTATATGTCTAGATTTATTTTGGTTATGCCTAGCTGGAGTTCTATATGACTCACTTATTTGAATGTCATGTCCTTTTCCCATACTTGGGAGGCTTTCTGCTATTACTTCTGTAAATAGACTTTTTACGTCATTTGTGTTGACCCCTGCTTTCACCCACACTTATTATTCTTAACTTATGTTAATAGCCTTGCAGTCATTGAGTTATTTCCTAGTTCCTTGTTATTTTTAAGAGATCTTTCCTTTTATGATCACAAGTTGCAAACCTGTCTTCAAGGTTTGAAAGTTTATCTTCAGGTTCTTTCAAGTGGTTTTGCCAGCTTTCAGTGGAGTTTTTAACTTCCTGGATATCTCTTTGAATCTGTTTCATGTATTCTAAATCTTTTTCATATTGTTCATTCAAGGTTTCCCTCATTTTCCTATGCTCCTCTAGTTTTTTAAAATTTATGTCTTCTTTAGAGGTGCTTAGCAATTCTTTTATTAGTTTTTCATTTCTTCTTTTACCTGAGATTGCATTTCTGTTCTAATTTCCTTTATAGCCTCATTAAGTTGTCTCTTTACTTCAGTTGCCATCATTTCAGAAACTTAGGTGTGCGGCTCCCAATCTCTTCCATGTTTACATCTCCTGGACTTGCTCTGCATGTGTTGGAGGCCAGAGGCTGCCTTTTGCTTCTTCATCATGACATTTTCCTGGGTTCTTCCAGACAAATAGGTAGTGGAGTCCCAGGCTCTTCCTGTGTTGGCTATGACGGTTTGGTTCTCCTGGCCAGTGCTGGCTATAGGTATCCAATGGTGGCCATCAGGTATGCTGGTGTGGGGCTGGCTGCTACTTTTCCCAGCCCTCACTGGCTACTGGCAGCAGGAAGCGTCCCCAGTGGTGGCTGGTGTCCCTAGGGGCAGGGCTTGCTGCTGCTTCCCAGACCTGATCTGGTTACCTGAGGGAAGTATCCCCAAAGTTGGCTGGAGTGTGCATAGGGGTGGAGCTTTCTGCTGCTTCCTTCAAACCCTTCTTACCCCTCTTGCTTTGCACTTTCTTGTCACCTTTCTTACTGCCCTGAACTTTCTCTTTGCCACCATGGTTGCTCTGCACTTTTTTGGAGCCATGCTGAGTTGAGTAATACTGTGCAATCTGTATGTGATGAAAAGCACACAAACAAGTTTCACAGCCAGTGTGTCCAGGTCTGTCAGCATGACTAGAGGAAGGCATGACCTGTGTCAAAGTGGGAAAAATAGCCTTGTTCGTGTTTGTGTGGGGAAGGTGGCTGCAGCTGTTTGTCACTTGATGCAGAGTCATGAATGGAAGCAAAATTTTGCTGAGTCCATCTGTGAACCCAGGTATCATTGTACTAGCTTTATGTTTGGATTGAGCTTATATTTTTAGGACCCTTAGGCTCATCATTTATTTGGGCCTACTCTTTACTGATATGGGCATTCACAGCTATAAATGTCCTTTTTCAGACCTCTTTTTTCATGTTCCATAGGTTCTGGTATGTTGTACTGGTATTATTGTTTGCTTCTAGGAAATGTCTAATTTCTTCTTTGATTTCTTTTATAACCCATTGATCGTTCAAGAAAGTAGTGTTTTAAAAAAAGAATGTACTGCTTAATTTCCATGTGTTTGCATAATTCCTGTGGTTTCTTTTGCCATTGATTTCTAGTTTAATTGTACTATGATCTGACAATATGCCTGGGATGATTTTGGTTCTTGTGTGTTTATGTAAGCATGTTTTTATAGGCTAGTATGTAGTCTGTTTTGGAGGCAGTTTCACATACTGCAGATACTAATTTATATTTTGTTCAGTGAAACAGTCTGTAGATAATTATTTAGTACATTTTTTTCAAAGGTCTGATTTCGTACTGATAATTCTCAGGGTCTGTGATGGCAAGCTCAAGAGTCTATGCTAGAAGTCAAAGAGTCCGAGCTGCAAGCCAGGAGATGATATCAAGATGAAGGTGAAGAATGGAGATTCTCCAGAGAACAGAAGCTGATCCTTCCTTCCTCATTTTCCCCATCATACCATGCAGGGAACAAGCCATCCTAGGGTGTGTCCTTTACTCCGTAAGGTGCAGAATTTTTGGACTGACTTAGTTAAGCTTCTAAACTTCTCAAGTTGACACAATCAACCAACAATTACATTCAGCCTTATAATCAGACCATCATATTCATCAATAAACAGCACGAGGTATTTTTAACTTTAAACTTCTTTGTTGGGATGCTTTGCACTCCACATAACCTGTTTATACAATTAGTCACAAATACAGTCCTTCAGTTTTTTGACCACACACATGAGTATTGTCTAAAATACGTCTTCTTTGTAGCAGGAAGGTCCTGTCACCACTGTGCTGGCTGAGTTCATGAATCTATTGTAGCTTCCATACCACTTATCTGGCTCTCTTCTCCTGCTACACATTGTTTTCTGTCAGTAATTAAAATGTCTGCTACTGCTATAGCTTCTTCTCCTGCTAGAACCACCATAGCCATCTTGGTTTTTTTTTTTTTAATTTTATTTAAGGAGAAAAAGAAAAAAAAAACAGAAAAAGAGTACAAGTTATACAGAATTTCAGAAAGAATAAACAGTAGGGAATCACTAGTTAATGGACTACATATTGTTATCATATGGTTTTTGTATAATCTCCTTGCCTATAGAAGTATCTTAGAAATAGTTGTTCAAGTTACAAACTTAAAGCATATAAAGTGGACTTTCAAACAGTGAGACTGCAAACAGTTTTGTTCAGTGATCCAACAAAACTCGGTAATATGGTTATGTATCTTATATACTTAAATATATATGCAGTTATATCCTTTAGAGCACTTTCTTTTCCTCTTGTCTGTACAATGACATTTACACATTTTGGGTTTTATTACTCCCACTGTTCTTATTACTTTTTTTTTGAAGAGAGTAAAACCAAATGTGACATAACAGAACAGAGTCAGTCAAATCAAAAGGATGGACATAATACATAATGTAAAAACAAAACACCAGGCGATCAACACTGGTTACCATACTGCCTCTTGCTATCTTAAAAAGAATTGCCTATATCATTAGTTATAATAAAATTGAACAAAACAGTAAATAATAAAACCAAAACATTGGAGACATTACAGGACTTTAAAAGAAGATAATAGTCAACCAGAATGGGCATCATAATGAATCTTACTGTTTTCACAGTTGTTGCCTATACTTTCGAACTTGGTACTATCAGGCAAAGCAGAATAGGGGAAAATCAGTCAAAACAAGATGGTGAAGGCAATACAGCATTTCAAATCAAGTTAACAGGAAACCAAAGTGGATTACTATAATGTATCCTGCTATTTTTTATTTTTCCCTTAATTAAAAAGATAAAAATAAAAAAGTAAATAATTTTTAAAAAGGAGATTGAGACAAAAGAGGGCATAACAACAAAACAGCGCAGGTCAAAGCATAATCATTTAAGCAAAATAGTGTTTTACCACAAGATATCCTGACATAAAAGTAGTTATCATAGTGTCTCTTTCCTTGAAATCTTTGAGTATAATTTCGTATACTCAATATGTAGCACCAAACATATCAAGACAATGTAAAACCATTCAAGAGAATGACAGTATTACAGGGTATTTAGAACCAACTATCAGAAAATGAACAATGGTTTTTGTATAATCTCCTTGCCTATAGAAGTTTTTGCTTATATTATCACATATAATAAAATCCAATAAGATACAACATGTTAAGACCGTTGGAGACAGAAGAATAAAAACTTGATGGGACTTCAAAACAAGATGATATTAAATTAGCACTAGCTATTATGATGTCTTTTCTCCAAAATAGCTGTTCCTACCATCCAATCTTCTCTGCCGCATTTCTGTTGAGTTCTTTTTCTGTCGTTTGTTGTCGGTTTGTCTTCTTCATTTTGCTTTCTGCTCTATTCATTGTGGCCTCTCTGCCACTGTTTCTGGGATCTTGGTATTTTCCTTTTTTAGAATATTTTGCAGTATTCTCTGTAGAGTTGAATTGGTGTTGCAAATTCCCCTAGTTCCTCTTTATTCTGGAAGCACCTTGTTTTTCCATCAACTTCTAGGGACAGTTGTGCAGGATATATCAATCTTGGCTGGAGGTTGTTATCTTTCAAAGCTTGAATTATTTCCCCCCACGCTCTTTGTGATTTGATGTTTGTGACGAGAAGTCTGCTGTAATTCTGATGGGTGTTCCCTTGTAAGTGATCTGTTTCTCGTCTCTGACAGCTTTTAATATTCTGTTCTTATATTGGATTTCTGGAATTTTGATTATTATATGCCTGGGTGTAGCTCTGTTTGGGTTGTAGGTGGCTGGGGTCCTGTATGCCTCATACATCTGAGTATCTTTACCTTTTGCTAAATTAGGGAAATTCTCTCAGATTATTTCCGTGAATAGCTTTTGTAGTCCATTTGTTTGTGTCCCTACTTCTTCTTTTATGGTCTTAATTCTTAAGTTATAGATACTCTTATCATCTTCTAGCCTTTGTATTATTGCTGTTTGTTTTCTTGTTATTTTTAAGAAGTTTTTCATGTTCCTACATTACAAATCTGCCCTCCAGTTCAGATAATCTATCCTTAGTTTCTTTCAAGCTGTTATGCCAGCTTTTGATAGAGTTTTTAGTTTCCTGGTAATCTCTTTGAACCTGCTTCACGAATTCTATGTTTTCTTTATTTTCTCCATCAAACAATTCTCCCCTTTTTTTTCTGTTCTTCCATTCCACCATCTGTTTTTTCTTGGGCGGTGCTTAGCATTCCTCTAACTATTCTACTTATATCTTGCTTTATTTCATTAAAAACTTCACTTTTGAACTCGTCTATGAGGCTCCAGAGATATTGCTTTATGTCTATTGGTGCCGTGTCTGATATCGCATGTTTTCTTTCCTCATTCTCCTTTGCATTCACCTTTCCTGGATCAGTGTTCTCAGGACTGGGGACTGAGGACCCTTTCTTGTTGCTTCCTCTTCCCATACTTTTGTTCCTTCCTATAGGAGGCCCAGGTTTTTTTTTTCTCTTTGTCTGTTCCAGTTTGTTTGAATTGCGCCGGCTAGGTGTTTCTGCCCACTGCAGTATACTAGGGAGACACAGACCTGGTCAGACTGTGCTTGGGCCTGCCCCTCCAGGTCAACCTCCCAAAGGCTTCACTGCTAGGGTGCACCAGCAGGGGCTGGGACCTGTTTTGGGCTAGCTTACTGGATCTTAGTCAGTGGCATCACGCAGGGCAGGCACTCACCACCAATCCCACTTGAGAGGGGAATATGCGACTAAAGTCACTGTAGCGTCCTGTTCCGCCAAGTCTGCCTGGTCCCAGTTATGTCCTTTGCTGAAGCCTCCTACTCTATGCAAGGGTCCTGTTCTGCTCACTCACCGCAGGTCGATGCAGAGCTCCCTGCCAGTCCTGCTCTCAACTCCGTTTGCTGGTTCCCACTCTCAGAGTTTTTTTGCGTCTGTCTCCCTGCTGTGCAGATTGGGATGCAGCAGCAGCAGGAAATTCAAATCGTGGCTTCCAGCAGCACGGGCTCCAGCTTCCATGCTGAGACCTTATCTGTTCCTGTTATAGCACTGGGATTGCGTTTCCAGTTGGTTTCTCTTAGCTTAGTTTGTTCCTGGGTCGGCAGGGTACATCTACCCCTGCTTAGGACTCCTCACACCACATCATTCCTGGACTCTAAGTGGGGTATCTCAGAGAGCCTCCGTAGCTACTGCTATCTATCTGCCAACCCCAAAGTCGCCACCTTGGTTTTGTGGTTGGGCAAAGTAGTCATCCATCACCAGGGGGCAGAACTTCTGCTTCCGGAGCTGCCTTTCATGTCTCCAGCATTGAAGACTGATTGTTGTAGTTGCCAAAAACCACTGTAGCTTTTATCACTTCCAAAATTGTTTCCATAACTAACAATCTATGGTAGCTGTTCCCACTCCCACTATCACTATAGCTGCCACCAAAACCCCTGTACCTAGGGTAATTTCCTCTAAGATCAAAGTTGTCGTTGCCACCAAAATCATCTTCAAATCACCAGCAGTTTCCAGGACCACTTAGATTTCTTTGGGTGCAAGAAGCACAATGCATCTCTTGCTTCACCAGGGCTTTCTTCACATCACAGCTGTGTTCAGTCACAGGATGCTATTTCTGAGTGACAGTCTTATCCAAGGAATTGTGATTGTCAAGGTTACAGAAGATAAGAACTACTGTGTAGTCAGTCATGATTTCAGTTATTTCAAAATTTCCCACCTGGTTCAAAATAATCTCTTAGGTGTTGGGTCTGGTAGGATACACCTATAATTTCAGCACTTGGGAGGCTGACGCAGGAAGATAGCAGTGAGTCTGAGACCAGCCTGGGTTGTGTAGCAAGATACTGTCTCAAAAAAATAAAAGGAACAAAAAACAGGTGATGTTCTTCATTCAGCATCTTTAATGACAACAAAAAGATCTTTTTCACAGTTCAGTGGGTACCTGGCCTCTGAGAATCTTCACTTGAGATTCTCAGGGAGCCAGACCTTCCTGGTTCTGCAACTCTTCCATCTACTTTGTGTGGCCCTGTATTCCTGGCTGCACCACCTTCTTTACAGTTGGTTAGGTGACCAACTGGAAGGCCCTGGACCTCTAATCAGCACATGGTCCATGACTGTTCTCCATTGCTCAGAATGGCTCTTCAGACATTCTGATGTTTGGAAGCTGCGCTGTCCTGGAAGAGCTGCTACAGTGTGCACTGTCTGGGAGAGTCTGATAAGAGCACAACAGCTGCAGGAAGAGACACTGCCAGTGCTTCCTCCATGGCATCCACAAGCAGAGAACGCTTCTTGTGGTTTTTAAACTGTTTCAAAATCTCCAAAGGCAATGATGGAAATCACACACACACACACACACACACACACACACACACACACACAGAGTCCAGCCCTTGTCCACTTGGCACCCTCTTTTAGACATTCTCATCTTTCAGCTGTAAACAAGAGTAAGATCATCCATCCCTAATGTAACCAAAACCATCTCAGTTAACTCCCAGAGAGAACACAGAGCTCCTTTATTCATCTGTGGGTGATGCTGATTCCTCTTTGAGTTGAATCACCTTCCTCTTTGATAACCTGTTCAGTAAATTCTGAGATAAAAGTGAACCACTGTTAATGCCCCTTATGTTTGAAGATAGGTAAATAGAAATAGGAAACAGAAAAAAGTTTCTACACATACACAAAATTATCTATATCAAAATAAG